CAGTGTCTCTATGTCCTTACTCATGCTGTTCAGCTTCTTCAAGATCATGGCTCTGAATTCTAGCTCTGTTAACATGCCTAATTGCTCCACATTGATCTCATCTTCGGTGGAGGTCTCTCGCTCTTTCATTTGGCTTCTGTTTCTGTGTTTCACCCTTTTGGCTATCACTGTGGGCTTTGGAGCCTGTCAAGTTCTCCCTGTGGGTGTTGGTGTTCTGCTGTTTGTGGCTCCCTCTCCTGTGTTTAGATGAGCGAGGGAGGACCCAAGTTAAACACCACTGTCACGTCTTAGTTTCCTGGTTAAAGTTGCCAGCCCAGGAAACTAGCTTTTTGCCTGGAGGCTACTGTCAAGTCTTACTTTCCTGGTTAAAGTTCCCAGCCCAGGAAACTAGCTTTTTGCCTGGAGGCTAGCAGTCGAGGTTACTTGAAGAGTTTTGGGTTGTCAGTTGATTGAAACTCCCTCAGGTGCTCAGCACAAGGGGATTTCGCGAGGGTGGGGCAGATGCTGGTTGTTAATGAGCCCCAATTAGCACTTCAATGGCCCACAGGGTGGGGTTGGATCTCCGAGGGAGGGGCTGCTGCCTCTCCCCAGAGCCCTGGGAAGGAGCAATGTGGCCACCGTCCTGAGTGGCTGCACTGAGCCAAAGCTCTGAGCGCCCTCCAAATCCCGAGTGTCCCAACACAGCTCCAGTCCAGTCCGCCCTCCCTCTGCCGGAGCCCAAGGTGAGTTGCTGTGGCTGTTTTAGCCTCTGTCCCGGCTCTGCGCTGCGGAGCCGCCTGGGAGTGTGACCCGAGGGCGCCGCTCCCAGCTGAGGCCGCTGCCGAGCTGCCGACCGTGGGCTCCCAGCCCCATCTCGCGCCTTCGCAAGCCTACCGGGATGGAGTCAGTGTCCCTGGTTATATGGTCCTCCCAGCTGCTTTTCTGTTGCTTTTCCCATCGATTTGTCTGTGTTATTGTTACAATTCCAGTTTGGTTCTGGGAGACGGTCTGTGTAGCTCCGTTCACTCCGCCGCCATTTCTCTCTCTCCGGGCTTCATTCTTTTTGCAGAGTCCTTCAGTTGGGATTTTGCCATTCCTTAGAATGTCTCCTTCAGAATCAAAGAGAAGTGAAAACTAATTCAAATCATGTGATTATCAAAGAGAAGAGCAGACCAAATGTCTGGAATTAAGTATAAGATAAATGAGTGGTAGAACCCCGGAGTTACACCTGCTCATTCCAGCCCTTTCAGTCTGAGCACAGGGTTGACTTTTACGCTGTCAATGAGCTTTCTAGGGCCGCCATAAATCACCACAAACTGGTGGCTTAAGACAACAGAAAGTTATTCTCTTACAGTTCTGAAGGCTCTGAGGGAGAATCTCTTCCTTGCCTCTCAGCTCCTGGTGGTTGCCATCAATCATTAGCTTTCCTTGGCTTGTGGCCACATAACTCCAATCTCTGTCTCCATAGTCACATAGCCTTTTCCTTGAGTTTCTCTGTCTCTCCTGCAAACACTCTAACTCCCAATAAGATCCTAGGCACAGTGGGTAAAGACTTTGCCATGTCTTGTTGGGGGTCGGGAACATAATTCAAATCCCTATACTGTCCAAGTAGACTTAGCCTGGTTAGGGCAGCCAAAAGATTAATAATTACACATCTTACTGGCTGCTCAAGTGTGTAGGGTCCTGGGCTCAGCATTGGGGACGCAGAGCTAAATTAGATACTGCCCCTAAGAAACGGACAGGCCAATAGTGGAGGCAGACTGGTAGACCAGACAGTGATCATGAAACGTGAAAAGTGCAACAGTCAACATATACAGAGTTTTAACAGGGAAACGTTTCACTCTCTAAGGCTCCTTCTATCGCAAAAGCAAGGGGTGAAGGAGGAGTCCGTGACACCTGAGTTAAATAGAACTAACGATGTAAAACATCTGCTGGGAGTCCTGACTCCAGACCTGGCTGTCCAGATAAAAATCACAGAACAGAACAATAGTCCCCAAGAGTGTAGCAGTTTCTGAAGCGTGGGAGAAGCAGGTGTGCCCTTGTTCTCGTCTCCTGGGTACTCCTATGGACTCGGGGACCCCGGGCTGGAAGCCTCGATGCAGGATGGGTTCTGAAAGCTCAGTAGGGCACATTCAGGGCCCTAGTTTGTCCATTAGTCTCTTCCTTCTGCTTTTGCAACAGGAAGGCCGCATGGATACCCCTAATGATAAGTCTGTTTGGAATAAGAGTCACAATTATGAAAAAAAACGTTGTCGTGGAATGAAAAATGTATTTTAAAGCAGAATAGGAGTAGAGAGAGAATTTCTAAATATCAACTGAATGTCTCCATCCATGTCCTACCAACACCTTAAACGTGACGCGTCTCTAAAGTGGAACTTACCTGTTGCTTCCCCATGACTGCAGTGCTCAGCTCCCAGCCCCCCTCAATGGAGACCTTTTGACCTCTCCTCTCTCTTTTTTTTTTTAATCTTCACCCGAGGACATTTTTGCATTTATCTTCAGATAGAGCAGGAGGGAGAGAGGGAGGAAAGAGAGAGAGAGACATCAATGTGAGAGGGACACATCAACTGGCTGCCACCCACACGACCCCAACCAGGGCCGGGGACAAACTGCAACTGAGGTACATGCCTTTAGCGGGAACCAAACCCGGGACTCTCTGGTCTGCGGGCTGACGCTCTAACCCCTGAGCCAAACCGGCCAGGGCTCCCTTCCTTCTTTATATGGCCAGTTGCCAAGACCAGCTGATTCTTTCTCGGGACATTTCATAATGTGCCGGTCTTTTTTTTTTTTTATCCTCACCTGAGGACACGCTTTCATTCTTTGTTCAGATAGAGCAGGAGGGGGAGAGAGAGAGAGAGAAACATCGACGTGGAAGGGACACATCGAGTGGCTGCCACCCGCACGACCAACCAGGGCCGGGGACAAACTGCAACCCAGGGCTTTGGGCGCATGTGTTTGAACGTGGAGCTGACTCCAAACGCGGGCAGGAGAGGTCGGAAGTGTGAGACAGAAATAAAGAAACGGCAGCAAAGGGTGGATCATCCAGTTGGCTACTGCTGTGGGCAGCCAGGGCTCGGTGCCACTGGGGACACTCTCATGAACGCGGGAGCACCATCCGTGGCTCCCCTCTAACTTTCCTGAGCACTTGGAGGTGCTCAGTAATTGGAAAATGCCCAGGCCCCAGCCTAGGGGTTCTGATTCCGTAGCCCTGGAATTCGCGCAGCAGACAAACATCCCAGGATTCTTGTGTAGGGGGCCCCCTGGGAAGGGCGCGGAGAGTCCAGCGAAGGTTCCCCTCTCGGGCGCACCCCTGCGGCCACCTTGAGCCAGACACTCTGACGCGTTCTGCGTTTCCAGGGCGACGGGGATGGGCGGTGCGCTGATGTCAGGGTCGGACAGTGGCCGGGAGGAGGCGGGGACAGACGGCCGAAGTACGCAGCAGCTGCGCGCTCGTGTCTCCCAGGGCCGGCTTCCGCGCCCCAGGGACTCCGAGCGCCCGCCGTGTGCGCCGAGCGGTGAGCGACCCAGCGAACAGACGTGCCCCGCGAGATCCAAAGGTCGAGCCCGCGTCTGCCTGGGGGGGAGGGGACCGCAGTGCAAAGGCCCAGGGGCACTCGTGGGGGCCTGTGCAAACCCGGCCATCGGGGAATTGCGGGGCGCACCGGAGGCAGGGGCCGATGGCCTGGAGGGTCAGCCTGCGTGACGTTTTACAGAATTCAGACGTAGTCCCCTGAGGTCGCCGCGGGCAGCTGTCACCTACAGGGAGAATGATCCGATCTGCATTTTAGGGTTACTTCCTCCACCCCAGAGAGGGAAGCTGTCTGGAGGAGACTGTGGCCCCGTGATGATGTGGGTGCCACAGTTCTGGGAACTGTTCTGGGTGCCTCCTCCCAACTGCAGCAGCCCAGATACTAGAAACAGCGAGTCCTCACTTCTTGTGGCTGTTGGTCGCTGATCTGATAGGTTCTGCCTTCGGCACTGGCAGGATAAGGAAACCAGCTTATAGGTACACAGGCTCCTTGACGCAAACCAGTGTTACACTGCTACGCGTCTCATCAACCTTTCAGTGAAACCACCTTGAAGGAAGCGAGTTGTGCCAGGACCCGGTGTCCTCCATTCCAGCCCAGCATTGCTGTGTTGTCTCTCCTGAGGCACAGAGAGGTGAAGTGGCTTGCTAACTGAGTGAGTTACTTTATCCAACTCCTAAGCTCTAACATTGCGACCTGACGCCAGGCAGTCTGGATTCGGAGCCCTTCCCGGCAACAGTAATGCCGGTGACCTCAGGTGGCGTGGGGCCATAGGGGGCTTACTGATTGCTTAGGATCATTGGACACAGGGTCAAATGTGCCTGATAACAGCTGTATGATCTTGGGAAACTGATTTCACGCTAACAGTTTCGTCAGTCGAAAATGAGTACAGATAGGAGTTGGTGTTGCCACTGCACTGAGACATTCACCGGCATGCAGAGATAGCTCAACAACTGGAAGTTATGCTAGATTTACTAGGAACGGAGCGAAATGACAGGTTCAGTAAAGCGTCCAAGAGAGGAGTGCGGGACTCTGGGGCATGGGGGAAAGGGAATTCCAGGATGACACCCCAGTTTATAGAATTAGGCCTGCAGGACAGGCTGGTCAGGGGGCCGAGGTGAGTTCACTGTCAAACATTCAGAGTTCGAGAATCTCCAGAACAGGAGGGGTGGTGGCCAGGAAACTGCCAAGTGACCGCGTGGATTTGGCGACCCTCCGCGCATGGAGGCCATGGCCTGTTTACCTTGGCGCTGCCCGGCTCCAGCCCCAGGACTGCCCTTTGCTCCCTCTGTCTCCTCTCCTTGTGACTTTTGTTCAAAGAGATCCCTCCCTTTCTGTTGGGAGAAAACGAACGTTAGCTCTAAATGTGGCCGTTCTCTGCTGTCTCTGTGTTCGTTTTCTCGTATTTGTAACACATTACACTCACACAGTTGTTCATGGCTGAAGTGAACAGACAGATGCAAGGACCTTGACTCAGGCTGTATATTTTGGCAGGTTGATGTCAAGCGATGGCACCTCCTTTGGCAAGAAGTGAGGCTGATCTGTTCCCCGATTTCCCCAGAGGGCCCCTGCATGCTTACCGCGCACGCGCGTCCTTCTGCTGGAAGGAGCTGGCGCTGTTCTTGGAAGGAGAGGACATTCTGCGCTTTAAGGTGAGGCTGTGCGGTGTTGGACGTGCCGGCCACACAGGGGTCTGGTAGGTGTCAGGTCACTGGCAAAATGGGGCTTAGTACCCTTAAAGCCACCTGGGTTCGCTGGGCCTCATGTCAGCCTCCGTAAGACAGGGCTGTTCCTAGGAGCAACACAAGCCTGACCCCTCTTTGCACCCCAGGATGCCAGAGCCTCGGGGAATGACAGTGTGTTCCGTGTACCCAGTGGCCTCGAGCATACCTGTATAAGAACGAGTGGAGCGAGGTTCCATCCTCTGCCTCCAAATCGCTGGTTTCCTTCTCCTGCATTTCCAGAAAACCATCTTCTCAGCATTGGAGAGCGACCCCCTCTTCGCCCGGCCCAGTGGACGCGAGCTCTCCATGGAGAAGTACCGGGAGCTGAACTTCCTGCGCTGCAAGCGGCTCTTCGAGTTCGGCTTCCTCCGCATGGACGAGCTGCTGCGGAGCCCTCTCGCGCTGCTGGCTCTCCTGCAGTGCCTGTGCATGTACGACAGCTCGCTGGCCACCAAGGTCCTCCTGCACACGCTCGTGAGTGGACGGCACGGGAGAGGAAGTCGCGATCTGCTTTCCCACCTCGCCGCGAGGCAGTGAGGTTACTGGGTGCGGGTCCAAGCGGGGCAAGGGCGCCACGGCACAGGAACCCGGTTACAGGGAACACTCGAACATGCAGCCTGTAGGATTGAGACGCGCGTCTTGGTGGTTTGGGGGTTCTTAGTGTTTACTTGCTTTTTTTTTTTCTTTATTGATTTTTACAGAGAGAGGATGGAAGAAGGAGAGAGAGAGAGAAACATCGATGAGAGAGAACATAGATTGGCGGCCTCCTGCACGCCCCCTACTGGAGATTTGGCTCACAACTTGGGCATGTGTCCTGATGGGGAATCAAACCAGCAACCTCTTGGTGCAGGGTCGACGCTCAGCCACAGAGCCACACCGGCGGCAGTATTTACTTACCTTTAAAGTTCTGGGGATTTACGCATTTGGGGCAATGCTTGTTTAAGGAGATTTCTAAAGACAGTGTAGGAAATGAGCAGAGATTAGAAGGTGTGGGCTGATTTTGTGGTTACTAGCGAGAAGTCCCGTTTTCTCGTACCTTTATACGCAAATTCACACACGAGTCCTTGGGAAAACAGTGCTGTGGAAGTCCGGGCTCCATAAGAGGAGGAGCTTTGGGACTTTTTGGCTTTTATACCAAAAAAGAAAAACCAACTAACAAACAAAACCTTGGGAACACAGGTCATCTGCCCACTGTTGTCTGACAGAAAGTGGGTCTGCTTTGCCCTCACCCACCGTCCTGCCCTCCTGTCCTGCCCCTTGTCCTTTCACAGGCCCTCGGGCTGTCTGTCCAGCATCTTAAGTGCAGGTGGTTCTGCTGCACTTACATAGACGGCTCTGAACAGGGGCCTTGCAGGTTTGCAGAGCCAGCCGCTCGGCTGCAGGCTCCTGTCCCGACCAGCATGCGGAACCGGGGTGGGTGGCGGTTAACGTGCCCGTCACGGGTGACATCCCAGGACGGCAGTCCTCGTGAACTTCCACCCGTTTATGGAACGCTGTTATATTTTCAGGTTTTTGGATCAGCGATTTACAACTCTGGTTCTGAAAGACATTTCAAGTACATTCCCCCGATCTTCACTATGGAGGTAGGTTGAGGGCTGGTGGGGAGTTGAGAGCCCACGGCGTCTGACCTGTTCCCCTGAGGTCTGGAAAGGGTGGACTGCAGGTGGGAGCCCGGGCGGGGGTGATCTCACCTACGGAGCGGTGTTCTTAGTCTTCTCACCGGGTAGTTCATGCTCCTCTTGACAGACAGGGTCTGCTGACTCCTAGCACTGGGTGAATTTGGCTTTTTCTTATCAAACGAAAGCCTCCCATTTGCCACGCTGCCCGGAGCCGACGTAGCCGGGCTGCAGCTGGTGTGCCACGTGGCAGCCAGCACAGCAGAGGGATGTGGGGAGGTCGGAGAAGGCGACCGGGGCCCGTCATGTGGTCAGAGGGTTCTTCGTCCTCACGGGAAGGGTGGGGCAGGGTCCCTCCAGGAGCGTGAGAAGAGCTGTCCGGCCTGACGGTGTGTCTGCTTCCACGGTAGATTTTTGGGTGTTTTGCTCTGACTGAACTGAGTCACGGGAGTAACACCAAGGCCATACGAACGACTGCTCACTACGACCCCGCCACCGAGGTAGGCGCTCCCGTCCCCTCGCTCTCTGGGCTTTGAGCACGTGTGGTCACCAGTGAAAAAGTAATTAGAGCCCCAGATCTGTGAGCTTTACACACGCGAGCTCGCAGAGTGCACGCTGAGTCCGTCACGCTGCCACGTGGGAGCTCAGGAGATGGGAGCTGGCCACGCCTGTCGCCCCTGGAAACGTCACTGAGTGGAGGTCCCCAGGGGCTGGGGTGGGCGTGAAGCGGGGTTGGCGGGAATAACACCTGGTGGGGAGGACTCGCGAGAGGACACCGCCACCCGGGCTTGGCCAGCTGCCAAGGTTTTGCATACGTCACATTGTTTAATATATTGGGTATCTTCTTTTTTTTCCTTTGAATTTCACCTGAGGATGATAAGTTTTTACTGACTTTTAGAGAGAGAGAAACAGCGATCAGTTGCCTCCCATACGTACTCTGACCGGGGATCGAACCTGCATCCTTGGAATGTGCCCCGACCGGGAATCAAACCCGCAACCTTTTGGTGTTTGGGACGATGCTCCAACCAACTGAGCCACCCGGCCAGGGCTCGGGCCTCGTTTTCCCTAGAAGAACCTCCGGAGGAGAAGGACTCCTGCATCCGTGTGAGTTGCTGATCATAACTTTTTGCCCTGTGCAGGAATTCATCATCCATTCCCCCGACTTTGAAGCCGCCAAGTGTTGGGTCGGTAACATGGGCAAGACGGCAACCCACGCGGTAGTGTTTGCCCAGCTGTGCATGCCGGGGGGCCAGTGCCACGGCCTGCATCCCTTCGTCGTGCAGGTGGGCTGCCGCCCCGGGGACAGTGTCACCGCTGGGGGCCGGTGCTTCTGGCCTCTAGTGAGTGGACAAGCATGCAGCTAAACGTCCTTCAGCGCACAGGGGGGCCCCGCCCTCGGATGAGGCTCGTCCTCCCCAAGTATATCGGTGCCGCTGCTGAGAAGCCCTGAGCCTGGGGCCCCAGGTCATCTGGCAGAGGGGCTCCCCCTCCTCTCAGCCACATGGGTGTCATCTCAGATACAGCACCGGCTGGACTGCCCGGCCAGGTCTGGGGGTGCCCCAAGGGGATGGTGCCTGGGACCGGCGGCCAGGCAGGGGTTCCCGACGTCCAGGGCTGCAGTGTGTCCAGGGCTGGGCCTTCTAGAAGCTCGTTCAGACCTTCCTCTCTGGGCGCTGGATCCCGAGTGAAGCCCCCTCCCCCGCCCAGCCCCATGCTGGCATTTCTGGTCCGTGCTCACTACAGAAGTCATCTATGTATTTAAAATCGAGTTGAAATTCATACAACATGCGATTAACTACTTTATGTCATTTTAAAAAATATGTCTTTATCGATTTAGAGAGAGAGAAAGGAAGAGGGAGAGAGAAACATCAATCGGCTGCCTCCTCATGCTCCCTGTTGGAGATTGACCCACAACCTGGGCATGTGCCTGGATCGGGAATCCAACCAGCGACCTCTTGGTGCAGGGGTCAACGCTCAACCACCGAACCACACTGGCCGGGCTATAATTAGCCATATTAAAGTGGACAATTCCGTGGCATTCAGTGCCCTGAGGGTGTGCAGCCACCACCTGTCTGGTTGAAGCGTTTGCTCTCTAGAGCACCCCTTCCGGTTGGCACTCAGGCCCCCAGGTTTTCCAGAATGGAACCCCGTAACCTGAGCACAGAGCTCACACGGTGCGGAACTGTCTGCCAGCTGCATCTGCCTTCCTAGGAAAGTCTGCACGGGAAGCTCGTTTTGGGAGCAGAGAGACAGAAACGACGTTAGGTGGTCTCTCCCACAGCACACAAGCAGCCTCTGTCGTATTCACACCGGCAGGGAGTCCTGCAGCTCCAGCAGGACCACGGAGCCCTGGAGGGCCCCAGGCGCGTGCGCTAACTGGTTCCTGGCTTAGTTTTCCTGTGGCTGCCGGAGCAAAGCAAAACGTACAGACTGGGGGCTCAGACAACCCAGATTCAGGGGTGCTCAGGGCTGTGCTCCTGCTGGAGGCCTCGGGGAGGGTCCTCCCCACCTGCCCGGCCTTAGGTTCCTGCCTGAGCTCCTGGAATGGGCTGTGTCGCTCTGTCCCTGCCTCTCTTCTCTCCACGTCTTGTCTCTCTGGCTCTCCTGGGACACTTGTCACGGGCTTTGGGGCTCGCCTGGATAATCCGGGGAGATCTGATGTCGAGAACCTTCACTTGGTCGCATCTGCAAAGACCCATCTCCAAATGAGCCCACAGCTGTGCTTGAGGGAGCCCGTGCCCGCCACGGGGGTTTGAACAGACTCATTCTGAGACTCACATGCTCAATACAGTTACTGTTTGTGTGTCCTGTGGTTTGTACAGATCCGGGACCCGAAGACCTTGCTCCCCATGCCTGGGGTGATGCTGGGCGACATGGGGAAGAAGCTCGGGCAGAACGGTCTGGATAACGGGTAAGCATGCGCCGAGCTTCCTGGCCCCGGCACTCTCCGAGGGGCTGTCCTCGGGCTGCCTGCGCGGGGCTGAGAGCCGGGCCAGGTCCAAGGCCACGTGGCCACTCGTGTCTGTGACTCCCGGGACCCTCAGCGCCAGGTGAGACACACAGCTCACCGCACCCCCGAGCCACGTCCTGCAGGGCGGTCCCCTGCGTCAACTCCAGTGCCGGAACCTATAAAGGAGCCTGAGAACTGGGCAGTGAACTTGCCCTCGGGCCCAGGCCGGACAGCTGCAGCCTGGTGGGCCTCTGCCCGGGCAGCGCTGAGCTATGACCGGGGCCCACCTGTCCCAGATGCGGTCCCGTCAGCAACCTCCCGGGGCTGCAGCACACAGCTCGCGTCCACACTGATCTTGGGGGTGAAGCGCGTTCCAGGTAGCGGGAGCAGTGTCCTGTAGACTCCAGGGTTGGAGAGGGCGAGGGGCCCAGCAGTGGGCAGGGTGGGCGGGAGAGCCTGGCACAAGGGCCTTGGCACCTTCCTGAGCTGATCTTAGAGCCCAGGGTCACGCACAGCATCAGCTTTGGGACCACGCAGATCTGGATTCAAATCCTGGGCCCACCTTTAGCTCTTCCTTGCCTTTCCTCATCGGCGATGTGGGCATGGCGACAGTCCCCAAGCCAGACCCTGGACAGTCTGGCCTGCACATGGTGGGCTACCAGGCTGGCGGCTGTGTGTGCTTCCCCGCAGACACACAGATGCTGCACACGCCCCGGAGAGCCTGGCCGAGGGGTTTGCGCCTGTTTCCATGAGCTCATGTATAACTGGGAGGGAGCAGAGCCAGGGGTCCCTTCGCCCTGCGTCTTGCGTAAGTGTCGAGAACGTTCGTACACCTGCTGCTTTGTGCTGAGGCAGAGGAGGGGAAGCCTGCTGTCCGTAGTCTGAACTCACTGGTTGACCAAACCTGGTCCTTTTGAGTATAAGTCAGGAGACAGGTCCTCTCCAGAGAGAGAAGCGGGACCGGGTGGTCTGCACAGATGCTGAGCATGGAGAAACCTCCGTCCAGCTGTCCCTCCCACGAAGCAGGGGTGCAGGGGGAGCGTCTCAGGTCTCTGCTCAGAACAGGCGAGCCCAGGCTATGCCACAGAGGGCTGGGGAGCCTGAGTTCACGCAGTTAGCTTGAGGAGAAAACAGGAAGTGGTTAGAAAAGGCAAACACACAGAACCCTTCTGATGTGTACCCCTGGCTCCGTGCGCTTCCTGCTAGGGAATGTTGGCACCTGACGGGCCAGCGGTTCCCTCAAATCTCCAGTCTGTGTGGGTGCCCGGGGGCCCTTGTCCTCCGCTCGCAGCCGTGATGCAGCTGGTATGGTTGAGAGCATCCATCTGGCTGTGGGAGGGGGCACCAGGGGACCACCCAGGAAGTGGGGGTGGCAGGTCCTGCCCCTCCTGGACTTTGAACACCAGCACAGGTCTGTGCCTCCCAGTGTGGGACTCAGGAAATCCCGCCCTGTGACCGCACCTGGGAAAGGGCTGCATGTGCCTGAGGCCTGGCCCGGCGCAGCCCCAGGCGGTGGTGCCTTCCCCTCCCGCTGTGCAGGGGAGGGGCCAGGTCACGGCCAGCCGGCAGCGTCTCTGCCTCTGTCACTTGGCTTCACACGAGAATCTTCGTGTTCTCTGGATCGTCACTGGAGCCCCTCAGTGGACGCGTGTTTCCGGAGACGGAATGTGGTCTCTCACTGCCTTGGGAGCAGTCAATGGGCACACGTCACGCCAGTGTAGCCAGGCTTGCCGAGACCAGCGTTGCCATGGGCAGCACAGTGACCACCCCCTGGACTTTGAGAGCAGGTCCACCAAACCAGAGGGACACCGTGCCCCGTGGAGCTGCTCCGCGGCAGGCCCATGAGATGCTGGGAGTGGCCATACTTGGTCCCTGAGCCTTTGAAGGTTCAGTGAGCTGTGCAGGGTCCCTGGGTCAGCGCTGCCTCCTTCCCAGCCAGGCGCGCACGCCCAGCAGGGGGCGCGCGGGTTCTGCAGACAGGACATCCGGGCCGGCTGTCGGGGCTCACATGCCCTTTGCTGTCTAACTCTATTAGTGTTAGAATTGAGTGCTTTTTTTGGTCAGAGTTCATTTATCTTGAAATTATTGGTTAGATTTTGTCATTTCACAAGAGTTTCTAAGGATGTAGGATGACTAGAAATCAGAGGCAGACATAAATTTTATAGATAAATGTAGGCGAATAAAAGCAAAATGAAGACTCTCTCAAGTGAGACCCTCTAACCCTGTACTGGGCTGCAGGACGCTCTCACCCACTGGCTTTGTGGGGAGGCGGGGTCCAGGCCTTGGGAAGCCATCTCGAAAGTGGCCGGAGGAAGTCCCCAGAGGGCCCTGGGGCGCTTGGTCCCAGGAGGGAGGGTGTGAGTGGCACCCGAGAGGCAGGGCCTGCCATCCGCACGCTCCCGGCACACGAACTCTCCCCGTGCCACCCCATGTCACACACACATACCGTGCCCTTTGGGGATACTGGGAATTCTGGCCTGCAGACTGGACCCCCAGTCCGGCCACCGGCTAACTGTCCCTGGAACAGATACTGAAGAGAAGGTGGGAAACAGCTTTCTGTAAGCTCACGCGAGTACCTGTGCGCGTGTAAACATTCACTGTCCCGTCGCCGTGCGGCAAGGGAGGTGACAGCTTCCAGCCCTCACAGATGGCACATTGAGTTTACAGGATCATGCTTGAAAAAGCACTCCTCGGCGTCTAGTGACGCGCAGGAGCACGCTGGGGAGGTTGACACCCATCTGCTCTGATAAACCGGGTGTCAGATCGGACGGCCCCCCTGCAGCCCGTCAGCACCCACAGAGGCCTGGTGTGCTGGGCTGGGCCTGCTGAGCACCGGGTCTGCCCGGCCTTCATCTCACCCCCGAAGGGTGACCTGTGGAAGTCAGCCCCTTGCGTGGAGCCAGCAGGGCCGCGGCCTGCTGAGGGCCCACCTGCGGTGTCCTCGTGGCTTCCTGAGGAACGGGAAGGGGTCTCCTCCAGCCCGCTCTGTGCCAGCCCAGGTCTCTGCTCTTCCCTGGGGGAGCTGGAACGAGCCACTCGTCTTGTCCCCAAGGCTGTCAGTCCCCAGACCCAATTCTGTGGAGATGACACCGGCGCCCGGAGGACGTTGTCTCCTCACAGCTGGTTCATCCCACGGCACTTACTGAGTCTGGCAGGCGCCGGGCTCCATGCCTCATGGTCCAGGGTGAATCAGACCCTAGAAACTGCCAACGCGAAGCAGGTGGCTCGGCAAGGAGCGGACAGTGGGTGGTCACCACAGAATGAGACCACCCTCCAGTGATGTCTTGAGACCACCGGTGCCCACCGCAGGCCTTCTGGAGGGAGAGAGCCTGGCCAGTGTGCGGGTCACAAGCAGATGCAAGCCAGTGGTAGGAGCCGTAGGCAGGGTCCCTCTGAGGGCTCACCATGGTTTTAGGGGTGTAGAGCCCTAGGTGGTAGCATGAAGCTCTGCAGGCGGGGACAGTCTGGAGGCCTCTGCTCTGTGCCCAGGACAGGCTGGAGGGGAGATGCAAAGGACCAGGGGAGATGGCTGCTGTCAGTCAAAGGGGGGTGGGACCCAGCAGGGCAGAGCTGCCAGCAGGGGCCCTGGTCAGTGCAGGTGGGGATGGGGACGGGACAGGACACACCAGCCAGGCTGGGTCAGAGTGGAGCAGACGGGGGGGGGGGGGGGGGGGGGGGGGCGCCACTGTGGTGGGTGGGAAGGGAAAGCAGCCTGTGGGCGAGTGTGACCGCTGAGCGACCAGAGCTAGTGCTGTTGTGGGGGTGGTGAGGTGGGTCGCCCGCCTGGCCTGGCCCTGGCCTGGCGGGGAAGCGTGCCTGCGTGCCTGCCCTGACGGCTGTGCTGGGGCCCAGGCGGGAGCAGCGGAGCGTGTGGGGTCCTCCCCACCCTTCAGAGCCGGCTCGCCCACCACCCGGTGGGGTATGGCGACAGGGCTTTGTCTGACCCGAGAGTGTCAAAACCTCGATGTGCTGATTCATCACATGGTGGTGTCGATTGTGCTCGGAGACCAGTGTGAGATCCAGACACCCCACCCTTCGAGACCGGCACCTCTCCTGTTGCGTGACGGCCTCTGGGCATGCAGGGGCTGACACGCTCTATTTTTTGGAGCAGCCCGTGTCCCTGCGGAGGGACCTGTGTCCAGTGGGGGGGGGGCCTGTGTCCGGTGGGGGGGGGCCTGTGTCCGGTGGGGGAAGTCTGTGTCTCGGGGGGGGCTGTGTCCCGGCGGGGGGCCTGTGTCCGGTGGGGGGGCCTGTGTCTCCACGGAGGGGCCTGTGTCCCGGCGGGGGGCCTGTGTCCGGTGGGGGGGCCTGTGTCCGGTGGGGGGCCAGTGTTAGGAGCTCTCTCACCTCTGGCTCTGTGAAGACGGCATGTGGCCGGTTTGTCACACTCAGAACTGCCGCACACACCCACCTTTGTTTAAACCTACTCTCTTGGATAGAACAAGGTGTTGAAATTTCTGTCTCCTGGTGTCTTCTCTCCCGTCTCCTGTCTTTGTGGACTAGTCCCTGTGTCGCCGTCCTGCACTCTCGTTTGGCCGGGGCTCAGGGGAGTGGTGAGCCGCGGCCAGGCCCTGTCTGACCCGAGGCCCCTGCCTTCCTCAGGTTCGCCGTGTTCCACAAGGTCAGGGTTCCTCGCCAGGACCTCCTGAATCAGACCGGAGACGTCACCCCCGAGGGCACCTACGTCACCCCCTTTAAGGTACAGGTGTCTCCAGGTGCGAAGCTCCCCTGTGCCCACCAGGAGCTCGGCCACAAGAGCCAAGCCGGGGGGTGGACCTCGCTAGGTTTCGGTTCCGGTGTCCCCAACAAGAAAGGGGGTGCCTGGTTCAGCCACCCAGGGTCCTGGGCGTACAATGGATGCTGGCTGGCTGCCCACCAGCGTCCACTCCCCCGCACCGCCCTGCTGGCCCTCAGGGTTAGGTAGGGAGCCCCCCAACCCTGCCCCTGCTGTTCTCCACAGAAAGTTCAAAGGTGAAAGGCTGCTTGGTCCACAAATGGGGGTGACAGTGTTCTCTGGTGTCCAGGGCTCCGAGCCCCCTAAATCCATTGAGTGGCAGCCACACAGTAGTGCGGCGTGGGCCTCTCCAGACACAGCCCCCGTCAGAGACGCCGACTGCCCTCCCGAGAGGGTCCCGAGCTCACAGCTGGATGACCACGTCCCCAGCACAGACCTGAGAACATTGCCGGGCAGCAGCCCCCGCCCGGGCTGGAGCCAACCTGCGCTTGGAGGGGAGGGAGACAGCAACATGGGCAGGACGGCTGAGCTGGAGCGAGGCCCACGGAGAACTGAACCCGCGTGGAAAGGATCCGTGGGGCCCGGGAACAAGTGGGAGGCTGGGAATCCTGGGGGCGGCGCTCCAGAGGAGAAAAGGAGAGAGTGGGGGGGGGGGGCAGTAACCATCCAAGTTGGAGAAGAGAGACTCGGACTGCAGGGAGCCCCAGAGCCACCGGAGAGGGCACCCCGCACGCGGCAGGAGCCTGGGAAACTCCCTTCCTCCAGATGTCCGCATGCAGGAGCTGAGGTGACATCGCACACCGCGGACAGCCGCCGCGGACGGCCGTGACTGAAACGTACATGTTAAAATCCAGCCAGGCTGCCGTTCGTAAGTGAGAACGGGACTTGCTGGGGTCGGGAAGGGCGCCACACAAAGCCTGCAGGGGACAGTTTGGAAGAAGAGCCCGAATCACATACGGAAATGAACCCAGGAGAGGCAGCTGGAGCGGGCAGAGCAGGTGTGTGGCCCACGGGGGCGGCTCTGGGCCAGCCTTACCCACCGACCCTGTTGGACACGGAGGTAGTGCTCTGAGTTTAAAGAAGATTAAAATTGGGTGCCCCCCAAAAGCTGGAGGGCAGCTTTCTCCCAGACAGACATGCTGGCGGAGACCTTTGTTCCTTTGGGGAGCCCTTCCCCCCATGGGCAGGCAGAGGGCTGCCATACCTGGGGCTCCAGCAACCTGGCTCACACTGTTTGCCCCAGCTTTGTGATTCTCTGAGGCCCTGTCCCACCCAACTTACAGGCCCACCCAAGCTCTTTCCAGTGGCTTTACCATTGGATTGGCCTGTCTTGGCTCCTGCTTCAGATTTTCCTAAATTCTCTCAAACAAGCAGCATCTGGTCTCAGCGAGCCCCACACCTCTCGCTAAGTGGCCCCAGGCCCAGCACTACAAGCAGCCAGCCTTGGTCCACAGCTTGGCTTCGCCTGGGCACCTCCAAGCCCAGCACAAGCAGCAGCCATCAGCAGACTGCTCTGTAGCTTATGCCTGGTGGCCCTGGGTAGAACACCGGCAGTGGCTGACCTTGCTCCAGAGCCAGCACACCCAGTGGACACCTTCAGACCATGTGTAATCACCACCACCCAACCACCTCCACAAGTGACACACTCAAGGAATGGACTCGGTACCAGAGCCCTGCTGAAGTAAGTCTTGCTCTGTGTGGTGGGCCCTGCACAGCTGATCATCCAAGGTAGTCAGAGGTCAGTGAGCACAGCCACTGACATGCCAATAGCAATCAAGACTCACTTACAAGAGAAGGGTGTCAAGTCCACACAAGGAGTGCACCTCGAGGGCCCAACTGGGGTGATCAGGGAGCCTGTGCCACCAGACCCTACAGGACACCTACAACAGGCCACCCTAGGAAGCCTAGGAGACATAGCAACTCTACCTAATACATAGAAACAAACACAGGGAGGCAGCCAAAATGAGGAGACAAAGAAACATGTCCCAAATGAAAGAAAAGAACAAAACTCCAGGAAAAGAACTAAATGAAATGGAGATAAACAATCAGATGCAGAGTTCAGAACACAGGTTATAAGTTGCTCAAGGAATTTGGTGAGATATTCAGTGAGACCTCCAAGGAACTTAGTGAGAATGTCAACAACATAAAAAAGGACCAGTCTGAAACGAAGGTGCACTAACTGAAATAAAGAATAATCTACAGGGAATCAATAGTAGAATAGTTGGAGCCAAGAAGCAAACCATTGATTTGGAATATAAGGAAGCATAAACACCCAATCAGAACAACAAAAGGATTTTAAAAAGTGAGGATAGTGTAAGGAGCCTCTGGGACATCATGCGTGCCAATATTCACACATGGGGGTGCCAGAAGGAGGAGAGAGAGAGCAAGAAACTGAAAACTTATTTGAAAAAATAATGACATAAAACTTCCCTAACTTGGTAAAGGAAACAGACATACGAGTCCAGGAAGCACAGAGAGTTCCAAACAAGATGAACCCAAAGAGGCCCACACCAAGACACACCATCATAAAAATGCTAAAGGTTAAAGTCAAAAAGAATCTTAAAAGCAGCAAGAGAAAAGCAGTTCATTACCTACAAGGGAGTTCCCATAAGACTGTCAGCTGATTTCTTAAAAGAAATTTTGCAGGCTGGAAGGGAGTGGCAAGAAATATTCAGAGTGATGAAAAACAAGAACAACCAACATGACTTTATCCTGCCAAGCCACCATTTAGAATCGATGGCCATAGAAAGAGTTTCCCAGACAAGAAAAAGCTAAAGGAGTTCATCACCACCAAACCAGCATTGTATGAAATGTTGAAGGGTTTTCTTGAAGGAGAAGAAAAACAAAAATAGGAACAATAAAATGGCAATAAATACATATCTATCAACATTGTTTACAAACAAAGTGAACAAGCAGATCAGAAACAGACTCATAGATTCGGAGAACATTGTGTTGGTTGCCAGATGGGAGGGGCGTTGGGGGAATGTATGAAAAAGATGAAGGGATGAAGAAGTACACATTGGTTGTTAGACTGATGAACCTCAAAGGGAAGGGGGAGCGGGAAGAGATAAACCAAAGAACTTCTATGCATATATGCATAACCAGTGGACACAGACAACAGTGTGGGAAAGGCAGGAGGGGGGCCGGGAGGAGGGGGTCAATGGGGGGAAAGGAGAAACATCTGTAATACATTCAACAATAAAAATAAGTTTAAAAAAAGGGAGGTGCCCACAAGGTGATTGCCAATTTTGAAAGAACACAGGTGAACGTCACACCCCTTAAAATGGTGTCACTTAGGGAGAGAGGGATTTGGGGGAGAACAGGGTCAAAGGGAGGCATTTTATAAACAAAATATGGGCTCCAGCAGTGGACTGTCCATCTGGGGTGGCCCCCACCTGTGCATCTGGTCTGGGGTTGACACCGGTAGTCCAGACACTGGCGGGCAGCTTGCTGACTCTGTCTGGAGCCCCCTTCCTCATGGAGCTGAGCGTCCCCAGGTGCCTCCTCACCTGTCCCATGACAATTCATTAATGGCACCTGCACCCCTGCTGCCCAGTCCTCCCTCACTTGGAGGTCTGTGTCTGGGGCACCTGGGGGCAGGGCCTTGCAGGTGGTCACTTGCCCAGGTTGAAAGGATGAATAAGCACCCCATCCTTGCGCCTCTCTCCCTGACGTGGCCGCGGTGGCGGCGGTGGCCGTGCTGATACTCCTCGTTGCTTTTCCCCGCAGGACAACAGGCAGCGCTTGGGAGCGTCCCTGGGCAGCTTGTCCTCGGGCCGGGTCTGCATCGTGACCGTAGCCGCCACTAACCTGAAACTGGCCATGTGCATAGCCCTTCGGTTCTCAGCCACGCGGCGTCAGTTTGGACCAGCGGAGGGCGAGGAGCTGCCGGTCCTCGAGTACCAACTGCAGGTCAGGCTTTTTTCTCGCGCGCGTGCAAATACACTTCCCCGAGTAGCTAGACGGGGAGTTGAGCAAACCCGCTCAGGCGAATCGCGAGCGTGGGCAGCCATCGCCAGGGAGGGGCAGCCTTTGGGGCAGGAGGCTTTTAGCAAATGGTCTAATGAGAAGGAGTCTGTGCAATGCCCCAGATAAGGAAGCCAGGAGAGCTGGTGCTGGTGCGGCCCCGGGAGACAGGTGGCCGCCTGCCCGAGGAGCCCTGCAGGCTCTGGCCGGTGGCCGTGCACGTCCAGGGCTCTGACCCACCCGTCCCGTCCTGAGAACTGACCCCAGGAAACGCAGCACAGTGTGCCGCGCTGTCCGCCGTGACGTCACTTAGGGTAGCAGAGGGACGCTTGTCCTGCAGGTCTGCAGAGCGGGGGCTGCTGAGGCCACCGGGGGGAGGATGTGCAGTTATCCCAGCGAATAGCCTTCCACACACACCTCGTGTTGGTCTTCACACCACGTTCCAGCTCACGGGTGGGGGCTGAGGACCGGTAGGGACTCCTGTCAGAGGGCAGCAGCTGAGTCTGGCCAGGCCCGGGCCCAGCTGCACCTACGCACAGGTGTGTCTGGGTGAGAGCCGCAGGAAATCGTACCGTTCACAGTTGGTTCTTCTAATACTTCTTGTATTATGGCCGTGAACCTGCTTTAACAACAAGGAAGGAAAAGCAGAGTGCCATGCTTCATGCCCATGACACACCGCCTGCCGCCACCCGTCCCGTGGCACCCCGCCCACACCACCCGTCCCGTGGCACCCCGCCCACACCACCCGTCCCGTGGCACACCGCCCACTGCCATCCGTCCCGTGGCACGCCACCCACCCTATGACACGCCACCCACCACCACCCGTCCCGTGGCACATCACCCACTGCCACCCATCCCGTGGCACACCGCCTGCCACCACCCGTCCTGTGGCCCACCACCCACCACCACCCAATCTTGTGACACACCATCTACCACCACCTGTCCCGTGGCACACCACCCACCACCACCCAATCTTGTGACACACCATCTACCACCACCCGTCCCGTGGCACACCGCCTGCCACCACCCGTCCTGTGGCACATCACCCACTGCCACCCATCCCGTGGCACACTGCCCATACCACCCGTCCCGTGGCACACCGCCCACCCTGTGACACACCACCCCCCACCACCTGTCCTGTGGCACATCACCCACCACCACCCATCCCGTGGCACACCGCCCACACCACCCGTCCCGTGGCACACCACCCACCACCACCCAATCTTGTGACACACCATCTACCACCACCCGTCCCGTGGCACACTGCCCACCACCACCCATCCTGTGGTACATTGTCCACCACTACCCAATCCCATGGCACACCGCCCATCACCACTCAATCCTGTGGCACACTGCTCACCACCACCCATCCCGTGGCACATCACCCTGCCCACCACCCATCCCGTGGCACATTGACCACCACCACAAATTCCATGGTTTCATGGGTCACTGTGCACCTGATCACCTGGGCATCGGGGTGGTTCAGCAGCTGAGAGAGCCCACTCAAGCCACAATGCTTGGGCTCTGACCCCAGGTCCATCTGTACTGGCTGTGTGCCCCTGGGCACGGCACTGGGCCTCTGTGCTCTGGTTTCCTCATTCGGGAACTGACAGTAGCCGCTCTTCTTGAGTGATCACAAAGGTTAAATACATTAGCACGTGAGAAGCAGTCGGCCCAGTGCCGGGCACTTAACATCCGGGAACATCCAGGTCTTTTCAGGCCCCTCCCCCTCCCGCAGCTGGATGTGCACAGGTGAGTGAGACCGCTCCCTGCCTCTGAAGGACCTCGGGCTCCCCGCGAGCCTCCGTTTCCCCATTTCCCTCTGCAAAGCACCCGGTATCACTGGTCAGTCCCACGCTCTGGGCACAACGGGCTGGTTTTTCTGGTTCCCAGGTGGGCTGACGTGGTGCCAGCCAACACGGGGACAGCGGTGAGCCGGGTGTGCAGGGCTGCCCGGAGCAGTCGTGTGTGAGCGAGGTGTTTGGGGGTTGGGAGCTGGAGTGGCCGAGTTCCAAGGCAGAGTCCAATGCGCAGGACCTTGCTCGCTAGGTGGGACAGTGACGGGGACCTCCACTGCCCTGTCCCGGTCTCGGCCACGCACGGCGTCTCGTCGGCCCGTGGCAGGTGTGCTCATGCGGCGTCTCTGCTTACTTCAGCAGTGGCGCCTGCTCCCGTACCTGGCGGCCACCTACGCCTTGGACCACTTTGCCAAGTCGCTGTTCCTGGACCTGGTGGAGCTTCAGCAGAGCCTCCTGGGGCGCGGCCAGAGCGCCAGGAAGGTGAGGGCGGCCTGCTGTTCTCCGCAGGGTTACGTCAGCCAGCCCCTGGCCTCGGGGGCGCGGGCTCCGCCGTGTTCCGTGGCCGTGCCCGCCCTCGGAGCTCTCGGAGCCGTGCCCTGTTCCCGTTCCCGTTCCCGCTCCCCGAGGGCGTGCCGACGCAGCGCCTGGCTGGCCGTGTGTTCCTGCGGTCCTGTGACAGCGTGACCAGCCCCGAGTAGATCTCACGGGGCTGATCCTTTCGTAAACAGCCGCGAAGGCCTGACCCCGGCTAAGGGGACGAGCTGACACGAGGACTGGCCGGAGACAGGCCACTCAGGCCAGCGTCCTGACCTCTGTAGCCGGGGTGCGAGTCGCCTTTGCGTCGCCACCTCCCTGCCTCCTGGGCTGGTGTGACCCACAAACCACACGTTTGCAAACGGATTAAAGGCCTGTACCCTAGGACTGTCCGCACAGGCATCTGGAGTCCAGGCCGTGGTGGTGCAGGGTGGCCAGCAGGGGGCGCGGCGGAGCTGGCCAAGGTCTGCAGGGGCCTGTTCCCCCCCAGGAGGGCGGGGGTTAAGCATGTTTTTCCCTTAGCTTGAGTCATCGAAACCTTTGCCAGGGGACACTGGACTCTGTCTCCTGTTAATGGTGTTAAGTGCGAGCACGCTTTATCCTGGCCGGACCTGGTTGAGCCAGGCACCGTAGGGGATTGTCACCGTCCCTGAGGTTGAAAACACTTCCTCAGCAGGCGTGTGTGTGTCTTTCTCCGAGTTGTTTTTATTACATATAAAGTAGAGTCCAGCCAGTGTGGTTCAGTGGCTGGGCGTTGACCCTGCACCAAGAGGTCGCAAGTTCAATTCCCGGTCAGGACACGTGCCCAGGTTGTGGGCCTGATCCCCAGCGGGGAGCACGCAGGAGGCAGCCAGTCGATGTTCTCATTCTTCTCTCTCATCGTTGTTTCTGTCTCTCTCTCCCTTTCCCTTCCTCTCTCTGTAAAATCGATAAAGGAAAAATAAATACCAGGTAGAAGCAAAGGTATTTATAAGATGTGGGAGGCCCAGGGAGGCTGGCGGGGGTCCCCCTGCAGACTTGACGGAATGGCCATCACCCCGACTGCTCAGGACCGGCCCCCGCCCGACCCCCCCTCAGAGTACCGCCCTGACGGGGTGTGACCCCTGCTTTCAGAGAGACAGCGGGGACCTTCAACAGCGTGTTGCTCCGTGTCTCGTGTGTGGACAGTTACGCGTAGTCCCCGCAGCTGGCTCTGCCCGCAGCCTGTGCCCCGGGATCTGTGTGCCGGGCAGAGCGGGGTCCACGTGTCTTCACTGCAGCGTGCCGGGTGGGTTGGGTCGGACTGCTGCGGACACGTGCCTTCGACGCTGCGCTTGAACCGACCCCTCCCTCTGGTGTCGGAGCCTCTTTCCACCTGTTCTCTGCATTTCCTCTCCCAAGGTGGAGCTCGGCCGAGAGATCCACGCCCTGGTGTCGGCCAGCAAGGCCCTGGCCACATGGACAGCCCAGCGGGGGATTCAGGAGTGCCGGGAAGCATGTGGAGGGCACGGCTACCTGGCCAGTAGGTTCTTGGGGGAGGGTGTGACCATTTCCTGTCCTTACCCCCATTCAGTCCAGACCCAGGGTCCCCAAACGATGGCCCGTGGGCCGAACCAGCTGTCACCGCTTTTTATGAACAGTTTCACTGGGCGTGGCCACCCCGTTCCTTCGCGCATTTTTGAGGGCCGTGTTCCCACTGTCTGTGGAGTTCTGTGGCCTCAACAGAGCTGCAGTGTTCACTGTCTGGCCCTTCCCACGGCGAGTCTGCTCCCCTGCCCTGGACAGGTCCCCCACTCTCCGATGCTTGGCGTTTCTGAAAACACGGACATCAGGAGAGTGACCACGGTGGAGGAACCTGGGGGAGCCCCTAAAGACCAGAGCGGGAAGGAGGACATCTCTTCCTTTGAATCGTAGCTTTCTGGTTAATGACTTGGCAGTAAATTAGCACCAGCTTTGGTTCCGACGAACAAGTCTCAAACATGGGAAAGCGAGAGTGAGTTTCTAGTGACCTCGCTGCTGCTGGGGCAGCGGGCGTGTGGGTCAGAGAGCGGGCAACCGAGAGCCTGGGGCCCAGTCCCGGCTCCAGCACGCGAGCCGCTTGACCGTGGGCAGCTGCCGGACCCCGCTGAGCCTCGGGCTGCTTATCTGTGCAGTGGGGCTGCTGATGCGGCCCCCAGCCGTGACTGAGGGGCCAGCGCCCCTGGAGCGGGCGGGCTCAGGAACTGGTGTTTGCTGCGGTCACCCGACTTATCACCATCACAGTCGTCATTACTGTGTGTGGCCAGCCTGCCCCCGGTCCTGTGTCCTGCTGCTAAGGGGCTGACTGACAAAAGCCCACTTCCTCTGGGGCGACCACGAGCATGTTCCACCCCGCAGAGCCCTCCCCTCCAGGGGCACTTTAGGCCCTCGCCCAGTTTGAGCATCTCGGCGACAGCCTGTGGACAGCTGCCTCCTGGAGCCGGTGCCCTGGGCTGCCCACGCCCGCCCGCTGCTCGCTGACGCTGGAGCCCACAGCTCCTCGCGCCGCGCTCGGTCCCCCTCGGCATGCCCTTTGTAGTTTCTGTTTGTTGTTGTAGCTCATGGAGACGCTATAAATAGTTCAGAATAAGGAAGTGGAGTCCTGCCGCACCGCAGACGACAGAAATGCTCGCCTCCAGTGTCCTTACGCAGACCGGTGCTGGGCGCTGGCCCAGGCCCCCGGCGGGGTGGGCAGCCAGCCGGTGTCGGGGCCCGAGTGCCAGTTGCAGATTGTTTCTCCGGTCGCTCCCAGCACTTCACCTCCAGTGGCCTGGCCGTGGCGTGGGGCGTGAGTTGGGAACAACCAGGTGTGACAGGTGACCACAGTCCGGCGGAAGTGAGCCAGAGTCAGGGTCCCGCCTGTCCCCGCTGGCCCCTCCCACCTCAGCCTCACACCCAGAACGCACCGGAGGAAGGGGAGCAACGATGAGGTTCTGGAAAGCGCACCTTATAAAATGTGCAAGAGAACTGGGTCCCTCGATTAGCAAGAGAGACAACACGAGAAAAATGAGTTTTTTCAGATATCTGGACTTTCTCGTGTAAAGAGAGGGAAGGGCTCGTTCAGTTCCAGGAGGAGACGGCCAGCTCTGGTGGGGACAACCACCAGGCTCTGCCAGGTGGCCCCTCGAGGACGGGGATGCTGATGGTGTCATGCCCCCGAGTCCTCAGTGCTGCTCAGTGTGTCTCGGGAGCTGCCGGTTTCCCTGCCCGCACCCTGCCGGCCGGCACTGCGGCCTTACAGAGAGCCTCGGCCACAGCGGTCAGGGGCCCCTCGGCAGGGGCAGGGGGCAGGTGGGAGGTGCTTTGTCCCCAGCCCCGGAAGTGACGGTGTTTCTCACACACGTACCTGAAGTGACGAGAATGTGTGGATTCATTGCAGAGAACCGTCTGGGCATTCTCAGAGATGACAACGACCCGAACTGCACGTACGAGGGGGACAACAACGTTCTGCTACAGCAGACCAGCAACTACCTGCTCGACCTGCTGGCGGGCGGGGGCCCAGGTGAGCACTGCCAGGAGGGGGCCCAGGTGAGCACTGCCGGGCGGGGGCCCCAGGTGAGCACTACGGGGGGGGGGCAGGTGAGCACTGCCGGAGGGCCCAGGTGAGCACTGCCGGGAGGGGGCCCAGGTGAGCACTGCCGGGGGGGGGGGCCCAGGTGAGCACTGCCGGGGGGGGGCGCCCAGGTGAGCACTACCGGGGGGGGGGCCCAGGTGAGCACTGCCGGGCGGGGGGCCCAGGTGAGCACTGCCGGGGGAGGGGGCCCAGGTGAGCACTGCCAGGGGAGGGGGCCCAGGTGAGCACTGCCGGGCGGGGGGCCCAGGTGAGCACCGCCAGGGGGGGGGCGCCCAGGTGAGCACTGCCGGGCGGGGGGCCCAGGTGAGCACTGCCGGGGGGGGGGGGCCCAGGTGAGCACTGCCTGCCCGGCCTGCTGGTGGATGGAGCCAGGTAAAGCGCCTTCGAGCTTGGACGGCTCCGGAACTCACACGGGGCGTGGGTTCTTGGGCCCCAGGTTAGCTGTTCTCTCAAGTGACCCCGTGATGGCAGGAAGGGAGGTGCCGTCACACGACGACGGACCAGCTCCTGAAGTCGCTGCGGCGTGCGGGCGGGTGGGCTCCCCCTCTGTGCTTGGGGCTTGGGCTTCCCCCGATGGGACTGGTGTGCTCCCAGGTGGCCCCCGCTGCGAGAGCCCGCTGAAGAGCGTGAACTTCCTGCAAGCCTACCCCGCCATCCTTGGCCAGAGGTTCGAGGTCACCAGCCTCCAGGACTGCTTGGACTCCTCAGGTACCCGCGGTCCCGTCTGCTCCCTCCCGACAAGGCAGGCGCACTGTGCATGAGGCTGTGGGCAACATGGCCCCCGTGTGCCCCTCAGTCAGCCGGCCTCTCCCTGTGCGGGTGACATGGCCCCGTGTGCCCTCCCTCGGCCTCTCCCTGTGCGGGTGACATGGCCCCGTGTGCCCTCCCTCGGCCTCTCCCTGTGCGGGTGACATGGCCCCGTGTGCCCCTCCCTCGGCCTCTCCCTGTGCGGGTGACATGGCCCCGTGTGCCCTCCCTCGGCCTCTCCCTGTGCGGGCGACATGGCCCCATGTGCCCCTCAGTCAGCCGGCCTCTCCCTGTGCGGGTGACATGGCCCCGTGTGCCCCTCTCTCGGCCTCTCCCTGTGCGGGCGACATGGCCCCATGTGCCCCTCAGTCAGCCGGCCTCTCCCTGTGCGGGTGACATGGCCCCGTGTGCCCTCTCTCGGCCTCTCCCTGTGCGGGCGACATGGCCCCATGTGCCCCTCATCCTCCTGCCTCTCCCTTGCGGTGTGACATGCCGCCGTGTGCCCTCCCTCGGCTCACTCCCTGTGCGGGTGCATGGCCCCGTGTTCCCCTCTCTCGCCGTCCCTGTGGCGGTGACGTGGCCCCGTGTCCCCTCTCTCGCCTCTCCCTGTTCGGGTGACATGGCCCCGTGTGCCCCTCCCTCGCCTCTCCCTTGTGCGGGTGACATTGCCCCGTGTGCCCCTCCTCGGCCTCTCCCTTTGCGGGTGACATGGCCCCGTGTGCCCCTCTCTCGGCCTCCTCCCTGTGCGGGTGACATGGCCCCATGTGCCCCTCTCAGCCGCCTCTCCCTGTGCGGGTGACATGGCCCTGTGCCCCTCTCTCGGCCTCTCCCTGTGCGGGCCGACATGGCCCCATGTGCCCTCCGGTGGTCAGCCGTCCCTCTCCCTGTGCGGGTGACATGGCCCCGTGTGGCCCTCTCACTCGCTCTCCCTGGCTGCGGGCGACATGGCCCCATGTGCCGCCTCCCCTCGGCCTTCATCATGTGCGGGGAGACATGCCCCAGTGTGCCTCCCTCGCCTCTCCCTGTGCGGGCGACATGGCTCCGTGTGCCCTCCCTCGGCCTCTCCCTGTACGGGCGACATGGCCCCGTGTGCCCCTCCCTCGGCCTCTCCCTGTGCGGGTGACATGGCCCCGTGTGCCCTCCCTCGGCCTCTCCCTGTGCGGGCGACATGGCCCCGTGTGCCCTCCCTCGGCCTCTCCCTGTGCGGGCGACATGGCCCCGTGTGCCCTCCCTCGGCCTCTCCCTGTGCGGGCGACATGGCCCCGTGTGCCCTCCCTCAGCCTCTCCCTGTGCGGGTGACATGGCCTCGTGTGCCCTCCCTCGGCCTCTCCCTGTGCGGGCGACATGGCCCCGTGTGCCCCTCTCTCGGCCTCTCCCTGTGCGGGTGACATGGCCCCGTGTGCCCCTCTCTCGGCCTCTCCCTGTGCGGGTGACATGGCCCCGTGTGCCCTCCCTCAGCCTCTCCCTGTGCGGGCGACATGGCCCCGTGTGCCCCTCGTTCGGTCAGCCGGCCTCTCCCCGTGGGGACACTGAGCAAGTGCCGACCCCACAGGTGGCCTGAGGGCAGCCCAGTCCCCCAGCCGGCCCCCCTCCTGGGAAGCTGGGGTGTCCCCAGGCCTGTGTCCTGACTTCGCTCCGGGGCCCGTGTGTTCACTGTAGGTGTTCACTGAGCACTTGCCCGCGCCGGGTGCAGAGGTCACGGAGACCCGGGTCCCTGCTGTCAGTGCTTCCGCGTCGCTGGGGGACGCCAGAGGCCCGTCAGAGAAGCAGGGCTGCGAGGCGGTGGCCCCGCACGGCAGCGCTGGCCAGGACAGTCCCCTGAGGAAGGGGCCTGGTGGCTGAGGTCTCGGTGGAGAGAACAGGCTGGCCGCGGGGACAGGGCAGATGGACAGGGCCCCAGGAGCCACTCGGTGATGCGAGCAGAGAGCAGCTGGTGGCTGGGGTGTGTCGTCCTTGTGCTGTGAGGCAGGAGCAGAGGGTGGCCAGGCAGGGCAGTGGCCGTGGCGTGGGGCGGGCGCAGGCCGGAGCCACCGGGACCGGCACGGAGTGGCTGGGCAGGGAGAGCTCCTTGTGCATGACATTCCCCTCACTCAGGGACGTCCCTGGCTTGTCCAAGGGGACACGGGCCAGGTCTGGACTGGAGCCTGTTGGGCCCCAAAGCTCAGGATGACCCAGCCCAGCTTCCGGAAGCTTTCTAGTGGGCCGTCGGGTTGAGGTCTCCCCGAAGAACTGGGTTGCGGCTTCTGCTCTCGTCTCCGAGGTCCCCACCCCCAGTTCATGGCTCGGAAGGAAGCACTTTTGTCCGCCCGCTCTTCCGTCAAATCTCACGTCAGAAGTAGCAGGTTTCAGCCAGAGTGGAAAGGCTGCCGTCACCTGTCCAGTAGAGTTCTGAGCCTCGCCTCTTACTGCCCACACCTGCTCCAGGTGCCCAGCTGGCTCTGTGGGCCGGGGGTGGGTCGCGAGCGGGCCCTTCTGCTGAGACCCCAGGACACTGGACAAGCAGCCTCCTGCCACAAGGGGGCGCTGGGCTCACCCAGACCACCTGGCTCCACTAGGGACCCAGGGCGAGTTCCTCTCCCGCCTCTCCCCTCCCCTCCCCCTCCTGCCTCGGTTTCTTTGGCTGCACTCGGACTTTCCTGAGGATGAGTGAGCTGACACGCGGACAGCTCTCAGCACGGCACGTGTCACCGTGTGGCCAGTCACTAATGAGCACTATGGCAGACACACAACCTTGTTACGATTCCAATTTCAATCACAGAATCACCACCGAGGTGCCATTTATTCCACTGAGCGCTGTTTGCCGAGAGCTTTCGGCAGGGGAGGAGGGCCCCTGCGTTGCAGGCAGGAGACCCCCGCGTGAGTGTCCCCTGGGGGCGCCACTGGGTCCTCTGGGGGAAGGAGCCGCCACCCTCCCTTCCACGAAGGACAGAGAGCGCGTGGCACTGTGGCCTTAGCAGCTGTGGCCCTTCAGAGAGGAGACAGTGACAGAGCAGGGCGGCGCAGCTGTCCACCCCGTCCACGTCCTCTTCGTCATCATCGTCGTCATCCAGAAACTTCTCGGCCAGTGACCGCTTCGTTCCTCGTCGGGCACCAGCCTTCGTGACAGCTGGCACCCAGTCACCCGAGGGCCCTTGTTCGCCTTCCAGATGTGCCTGACGGCTGCAGACCTCCCCGCGGCCTCCGCAGAGAGCCCCAGAGGGTGACCTCTCCTTCCAGGGACATACCCGGCCAGAACGTTCTCTTCCCTAAAGCCACCACCCGTTGTAAAACGGGAAGTAAACAAGTTCACGCCTCGGTGTGTTCCCGTGCCCCCCACGTCCGTCCTCGCCGACCCGGCGTCAGGAGAGGCCAGGAGAGGCGTCGGGCCGCGTCATCTGTCTTCCCTGAGTGCCGTACTTTTTGAGAAGTCCGAGGAAGTGCAAACGTCTTCTGGTGGGAAGAAACGCAACTGAAACGTGTTTGGCGGAAGCGGCTGGGCCGCGCACCCGGCCTTCTCCCTGGAGCACCGCAGAGGGGGCGCGGCGGCGGCCAGCCCGTCTCTGGGCCTCCGATCTTCCGGCCCGCATCTCGGGGCTGGCCTTCGTCTTAGCTGGGTCCTTGTGAAAGTTACATAGAAGATTTATGACCCTCGAGCCTGGCAGGACTGGCGCGAGAGGCCTCTCCAGGACTGAGCGAAGCCTGTTTGCAAGGACAGGTCTTTCTTCAGGGAAGAAAACGATTCTTTGGAGAGGGAGGGGCGGGCACGGCGCCCAGGTCCTGACTTACGCCTGCGTGTGCGGGGAGGATGGGTTCACAGCCGGTCCTGCACCCAGGACCTGCACCATCACTTAGCGACCCGAGGCCCACTTTTTCTGTAGTTGGCACATTTGCAAACGTATTAAGTAACCGCAGCTCTGTCTGTGGCTGACAGCTGTGTGTGCAGGGGCGGGGCTCAGTGCTGCCCCCCCTGACCGTCCCTTGCTGTGCCCAGGGAGGGACGCATCAGCCTGTGCCTGCAGTGAGGGCTGGGCCGCTGCACCCTCCCTGGGCACTGGCCGATGTGGCGGGGCCACAGCTCCCCTCGGGCACAGGAGACGCAGGGTGAGCTCTGGGGGGACTTCGCCATTTTCCAGGAAGCCAGCTCACGGCCTGGGTCTCGGAGGTCCAGAGTAGCATGTTCGGGTAGCAGGGTGGTGAAGGGCACGTGGGCACGGGTGGGGAGTGGGTGGTGCCCGGCCCTGGGGCTGTGCATCAGCTGAGGAGCGGGGGCCAGGCGCCCAGGCCTTGCTGGCCACGGCGCCCGGGTCAGAGCCCCGCGTTAGAAGGTGGGCGCAGGGTGTCCAGGCCTCGCTGGCCGCGGCGCCCGGGTCAGAGCCCCGCGTTAGAAGGTGGGCGCAGGGTGTCCAGGCCTCGCTGGCCGCGGCGCCCGGGTCAGAGCCCCGCGTTAGAAGGTGGGCGCAGGGCGTCCAGGCCTCGCTGGCCGCAGTGCCCGGGTCAGAGCCCTGCGTTAGAAGGTGGGCGCAGGGCGTCCAGCCTTGGAGTCAGCCTGGAAACTGAGACCCCGGCAGAGGCAGCACAGGGCAGGAGGGGGCAGGCTGGGGGGGCAGGGGAGGTGGTCAAAAGGTGGTTGGGCGCGAGTGAACCCCCTGGCGATGCTGGGAGTTCAGGTGTCACATGATGAGTCGAGTGTCCGGTGGGCATGCTCAGAAGCCCCTGGACGAAGGCCGAGCAGCAGGCCTAGAAGTGAGTGGAGTAGAGTTGAGGGTGACAGCTGGGGGCGTGTGCATGGAGGGATGAGGCCACACAGGGTGTGGAGGCACGGGCATGGTGAGGAGCGTCGAGGGCACGGAGGGGGCGTGGAGGAGCCCTGGGAGGCACGGGCATGGTGAGGAGCGTCGAGGGCACGGAGGGGGCGTGGAGGAGCCCCGGGAGGCACGGGCATGGTGAGGAGCGTCGAGGGCACGGAGGGGGCGTGGAGGAGCCCTGGGAGGCCATCTGTGACCAGCATCGGGAGGCCCTGAGCCGTCAGCAGCCTCCCAGGCGAGCGAGGCTGTGAGCTGGGCCTGCTTCCCACTGCATTTGTCCAGCAGCGGCTTCTCGCTTCCAAATCCGAGGACTTGTCACACTTTCGTGTGCTCGCCAAGGTCCCCCCCTGCCACGTGGACACCTCGAAGCAGCGTGATGTACTGTCTTCTACAACACTGACAGCTAACAGCGAGGCTTCAACGAAAAGCAACTTCCGACACCTCGTGGGTCGGGCTGGCGCGACGTTCACAGCACAGCCAGCGGGCACTGGCCTCGGGCACCGTGGGCGCCTCGGGCACCGTGGGCACCTCTGGTGTGGCCGCTGCAGCGGGCGCCTCCCGGGGTGCACAGGCCTAGGGGGCCAGCAGCTGGTCGGCGGGTCATCCCCTTGGGCCTGGGGAGGCCCTTGGGCTTGTTGCTGGGCGAGGGGACCATGGAGAAGGAGAGCCTGCTGCTGGTGACCGGCGTCCGGCTGGGAAGGCTCGTAGTGGCAGAGTCGAGGGCCCAGGACGCATTTGTCCCACGGGCTCTGTCGTGTTCGCTGGGTTTGCAGGGTCGTCGGAAGGGCCGCACTGAGGCTCACGAGCGCACGGGGCCGCCTGGTTTGTCTGTGCCCTGGAGAGGCCGTGCATTTCCCGACCGTGCTGAAACGGGAGGTCCGGGATCGAGGTGCACGCAGGGGAGTGTCCTCTGGAGGCTCCGGGGGCAGGTCCGTCCTCGCGTCTCTGGTCTTCGGCGCTCCTGGGGTTCCGGGGCTTTGGCTGCATTTATCCGGTCTCTGCCTCCATCGTCACATGCCACCTCCTGGGTCCCCTCTGCGGTCCCTTGTGGAAGGGCACGCGTGTTGGGCGCACCACCCACCCCACCCACAGTGGCCTCATCTCGAGACCCTCCACTTTTTTTTTTTTTTAATTTTTCTTCTTTATTGACTTTAGAGAGAGGAAGGGAGAGGGAGAGAGGGATAGAAGCATCCATGAGAGAGAACATCGATTGGCCGCCTCCTGCACGCCCCCCACTGGGGATGGGCCACAACCTGGGCATGTGCCCCGGCCGGGAATCGAACCAGCGACCTCTTGGTGCAGGGTCGATGCTCAGCTACGGAGCCTCACCAGCCGGGAGCTCAACTTAATTGCAAAGACCAGTCAGGCCCTCCGGCACTCCGCTTGCTCTCCCTGTGCCTGGGCGCCTCCTTGTGCCCGGTGCTCACGGGCAGGGTGGTAACGTCTGGGTGGCAGGTGTTCCGAGGACCGCCAGGCTCTGGAACCTGGTCCCCAGAAAGTGCCGTGTGGGAACATCAGCCCTCGCTGAGATGTGAGGAGGAGCCGGTTTGGGCACCGCCTGGGCAGGGCGAGGGGCCGTGTGCCTCCCCCCCTCACCCTGCTCTTCCTCCGGCTCCACCCTGCCTGCACCCCGCCGTGGCACGGCCCTGTCCGCAGCTCCCTCTGCTCCCCGAGAGCGTCTGCGGTGAGGCCTCAGGCCAAGTTCCAGGGCAGTGAGGTCGAGGGCTGGGCTGCCATGTGGACGGAGTGCCCCCTCCTGTCACCATGGCCCACCCACCGGGTGCCGGAAAGTTGTCTTGATGTCCGTGCAAACGCCCAGTGGTACTGAGGGGCTGCCCCGTTCCGTCCACCCTAAGTACCAGAGCACCTGCCAGCGTAGCCGATGTCAGTGAGGTGGTCACCCAAGACGTGGCTCCGGGCTTGAGTAGTGTGGCCAGGCCAGGAAGTACCCTCACCGGCGCCTGTCCTGGCCTCCACCCAGGGGGCCCTCGGGTGGTCCCCTCCCTGTGCCTCAGTCTCTGTCTGTAAACTGGACCCCCCCCCTCCCCCGGGCACGCCCGGCGCTCACGGTGCCATCCCTCGGGGAGGCTGGGCCCCTGCTGACGCTCCGGTGTCCCTTCTGCTTCCCCACCTGAAGTCCCGCTGGCGGCGTACGAGTGGCTGGTGTGCAGCCTGCTCCGGGAGACTCACCAGAAGCTGACCCAGGAGCGGAGCTCAGGGAGCAGTGACTTCGAAGCTCGAAACAACTCTCAGGTGCGTGTGTGTTCCGGAAACCTCGCTCTGTGCTGCGCCCCTCTGGCCCTGCGGCCTCGCTTGCTGTGGGGCGGTGGTGCCCCCTGCTGGGTTGTGGGGAGACTCCCGTGACCCCAGGGTCTGGTCAGCTGCGACCTGTGTGATGGGGTCCTGCGGGAGGCCGTAGGGGAGGGAGGTGTGGGCCGCCTCTCAGACCAGTGTCCCTTCTCCTGGTCCTGCTCCGCGAGGCTCGTTGTCCTCTGAGAACTCTGCTGTGTCCTCCTGACCAGCAGGGGCAGCGTCACACTCGGCCGGACGCAGAGCCCGTGGTGTCCTTGGGGACCTGCTGGGCACACTGCCTCTCGGGTGGGGGCAGGGGTGAGGGCTCGGGAGGGGCCTTGATGGGAAAGTCCGGCCTAGGGCGACTGTACCAGGATTGAACCTGTGGCTCAGGAGTGAACTGAGCAACGCCAGCACCAGCGTGCTCCCGTTCGGTGCCACGGTGACCAGCACAGCAGGCGGAAACGGGCCTCCGGGGCCGGCCGGGGTCCCAGCCGGGGTCCCAGCGGGCTGAGGCGCTCGGACGCCGATGGCTGTGGACCTGGTTGTCCCGCGCTCCCCTCCCTGCGTCAGATCCTCACTCTTGAAATGGAGATGAGGACCCTCTTCTGAGCTCCAGACGGGGATGCACAGAGACAGGGGCCCAAGGGGTATTCCGCCCCCTGAGCCCCGGAGAGCTGTCCCGAGGCCTCCGTCACTGCGTCCCAGCTGCCCTCCATCCCCACACCGGCTGGGGCGACATGCCCCCTGTAACCCACAGAGCGTGCCCGGGGGAAACAGCTCCCGCAGACTGACGGCAGCCTGGCCCGGGGGCTAGCACGAGGCCTGACGGGGGCCTGAGCCATGCAGGTTGAGGGACAGCGGCCACTTAGCCCGGTGTGGATGGACAGTGGGAACGGCTGTGTCTGGAGAACTTGCTGCCTCCTCTCTGACCAGGGGGGACTTTTATTAACCTTTCTTGACCGGCTCCTGCGGCAGCAGCTGCCCTTACTGTTGACTCTGGCGAGCCAGACACACCCAACCGGTTCTTTTTTTTTTTTTAAAAAAAAGGGCCTATCGCATTTTTGGCCAGGTGACACCGTCATCACATGTTCAAAGGGAGAAATACAGAAAGGTGGGCAGTGGGGGGTCCCCGCCTTGGAGTGCAGCATCGCCACTCCCTCATGGCACCAACCTGAGCTCCTGGGGACACCCTCCGGGGATCCGGTGCCTTCAGGGGCCCTGAGAATATCTTCCTCCGCCATGTGCTCACACCACTGTCCCTGGTGGACAAAGGAGTCAAAGCCGAGAGGAAGGCCCCCGGTCACCGCCCACCTGTGCCGGGGCCGCCCCCCCCCCCCGAGCCCGCCGACCCCAGGGCCCAGCTCTTTCCCCGGGCTGCACACTGATCTCTGAACCTGGACACTTCGGAGTGTATCGCCTCAAGCATCTTCTTGTTGAAACGTCCTCAGAAATTAGAGTGTGGCAGAAATTAGCACCCAGATGCCAGCAGGCTCACACCCCCTTCCCGAGGCTGGAAGCTTCCTGGGGATGGCAGCCCAGCGACCAGCCGGGCTGCGGTGGCTCACGGCGGCGTCTGTCCGCAGGTGCACTGCGGCCGCTCCCTGGCCTGGCCTTCCTGGGGCTGCGGCTCACGGCGGCGTCTGTCCGCAGGTGCACTGCGGCCGCTCCCTGGCCCTGGCCTTCCTGGGGCTGCGGCTCACGGTGGCGTCTGTCCGCAGGTGTACTGTGGCCGCTCCCTGGCCCTGGCCTTCCTGGAACTCACCGTGGTGCGCAGATTCCACGAGCACACGCACCGGCCCGACGTGCCGCCCCCACTGCAGGCCGTGCTGCGGCGGCTCAGTGCCCTCTACGGCCTGTGGTCCCTGAGCCAGCACACGGCCCTGCTGTACCGAGGTGAGGCCCCGCAGCACCTCCGCCCCTGCCCCGCCCGCAAGCTGGGCGCCCCCCTTCTCTGGGCGACACTGCGGTTCCGTGTGGTGGGACCCAGCGCGGCTGAGGGAGCCCGAACACCACAGGAGGGGACACGAGGGCAAAGCAGCATCAGGATGTCATCCATGGGCACAGAAGAGCCAGGCGGCTGGGAGCACCCCAGGAGTGCCCGGCAGGGGCCAGGGCTTGCTGAAGGAGGGGTGCTCCCCAGAGGACTGGTGGGAGGGGGAAAGCCTGAGTTTTCCTGATCGCCCCGTGCAGAGCCGTTTTGAGGCTTCCCTGAGCGCCCCAGGGCACGTCTGCTCGGAGAGTCTGTCTGTCCGTCCTGGGTGCGGACCTGGGCCTTATGAGGCCTACGGCTTTGCCCTTCCCTCTGGGCTTCTGTCGCCCTGCGGAGGTGGTGAGGGTTCCCTGACAGAGGAAGACTCCAGGGCCTGTGGGCACAGGGGGGCCAGGCGCAGGGCAGGAGACCTCTCTGGGGAACGCCAGCTCGGGTGACCGCTGGCGGTTTTTTATAGCAAAAGTCAGACTGGAGCAGGTCCTGCAGCACACACGCGGCCTCAGACACGCAGGGCCACTGGGGCCTGCCACACACCATAGCCACGCCTCGGTGGCTCCGGAGGGGAGGTCCCGGAGGGGCGTCTGCGTCCTGCCCCTGCCGGCTCCAGACGGCCCCTCGTACCCCAGCCGCATCTCCCCTGGCACCCTTCCTGGGGTCCCGACAGCGCCGGTGCCTTCCTCTCAGGATCCCATCTTCAGAAGGATCCAGCCCGCCAGCCTCCCCTGAGCCCCTCGGCCCTGAGCACCAGGCAGACCACCCATCGCCTCCGGTCGGGCTTTGCCTGCCTCGGCCCCACAGCCCCGACCCCTGGCCCCCACCCCTGGCCCCCACCCCTGGCAGGTGCTCAGTGAAGCACCTGCCGAGGGGTCACAGCTCAGCTGGGCTCGGCCATGGCAACCCATTTTCACACAAAATGGGCTGGTTTGAAAAGCTGCTTTGGGATGGTGGCCACGCGTGGGTGATTTTGGACTCGCAGACCCGGGGTAACCGGCGCTGTGCTTGCAGGTGGCTACTTCTCTGGCGAGCGAGCGGGTAAAATGGTCGAGGACGCCATCCTGCAGCTGTGCTCACAGGTGAGACCCTGCATTCTCGCCAGGGGCCCGTGCCCACGGCGTCTGCAGAGCAGGGGCGGTGCCGGAAGATGTGCTCGTGCCGGAAACTGCCGGAAAAGAGCAGCTTCGAGGAGCTGCCTCAGACCCTGTTCACGCCCACGCGGCGCCCTTCGCAGCTGGTGGAGAGGCCTCCGGTCTGAGTTCCTTCCGCTGTACCTTTTCCTCCACCCTTGTCGCCCAGAAAATTCCAGCCGCCCGACCCCCAGTGTCCCAGTGACTGTGCCGCAGAAGGTTCCACAGGGGTGGGCGTGTCCTGGAGCCCCGTGGGCGGCCCGGTCACCCCTCATGGGTGCGGGTGTCAGCAGTATCTCCCTGCCCCTGGGAAGGGTGTAGCTTCAGCGCCTCCCCGTCCCCCCAGGGAGACCAGCGGCACGGGCATCGTCCTGGTGGCTTATGGTGCTGTGTGCGGTTCACAGTCACAGCGTTGTGTCCCTGGCGCTCCAGCCCGCTGTCCCCCCCCCCCCCCGTGGCCAGGCCGCGGGTCACAGGTACAGGAACCAGCCCACGCCCCCTGTCCACCCGCCGCCCACTGCGTCCAGGTTCACTGCGACCCAGGGCTGTGGGCCGGTGAGCGAGTGAGCCCGGCGTCGGGGCTGGGAACCCCTGTGCTGACCGCTCGCTCTCGGTCCACGTGAGGCCGCCCGTCCCCGCGGTCTGTTCGGCACAGCTGTGGCGTTGCACAAGGACTGAAAGAGCAGAAATGTGTTTTTGCATTTCAAGAGAGGCCTCCCGTGCGCTCCATACTGAAGACTCATCAGCAACGGACGACCAGAGGGCGGGACAGCGGAGCCGCCCAGGCGCGCGTCAGGGCTGTTCCAGTGGCGCAGGGGGCCTCGCCCTGGGGCTCGCCCTGGCACGTGCTCCTGGGTTGGAGCAGCCGCTGCCCAGACCAGTCGGGGGTCAGAGGCAGGCAGTGGGCGCTGCGGGGGTCACTACTGCAAGCAGCCCCTACCGGCCGGCAGACTGAACCGCTGGCAGAGGGCAGCCTGGTGGGAGAGCTGGAGGCTCACCCCTCGAGGGGACGCGGGCTGGGAACCAAGCCGCCTGCTAGGGTTACCGTTGCTAGCCGTCCAGCAACAAACTGCAGGGCTCTGTTCCTCTGGTCGCCATGGAGACGTGGGGCGATGCCAAGTGTGTGGCCTTTGTTTCCCAACAGCTGAAGGACGACGCGGTTGCCCTGGTGGACGTGCTGGCCCCTCCTGACTTTATCCTGGACTCCCCGATTGCCAGAGCCGACGGCGAGGTGAGGGGCCCCGGGGGCTGCTCAGTGATTGCAGGGCCTGAGGTGGTGGCCTGCCCAGGAGTCTCCTGACGCCCGCGGGCCGTTGTCACGCTCCGGCCGCGGTGGAGGGGTGGAGGGAGAAGCCAGGGTGTCTTGTCCCCCAGAGCCTTCCCCTGAGAAATGGGGGGTGGGTAGCGGGGCTCTGTAGGGCTGTGATGCGGGGCCCGGGACCCTGCAGCGTCTCCCTCCCTTAACACTCCCTTTCCAGCCCGGTCTTCCCGATCATCTCACAGGGCTGGCTCCTGCCCCCCGCTGGCCGGGCACCCCCTCTCCAGCCTGCACTCCCTGGGGACGCCTGTGCGGCTCCCTAAGCCCTCTGGCCCCGCCCCCAGAATGATTTCTCACAAAGCGAGTGTTGTCAGGCCACGTCTCTGACCGCGTCCTCCGCCAGCACTCCCGCCCCTGAAATCGCCCCAGCCCTCCTCCTGTGCCCGCTGCCTGGCCCGGCCCGGGCTGGTTCTCCAAGGTCACCGTGCACTGTGCTCCTCCTGCCCACCCGCCTCCAGCCTACTGTCCTCTCTGCTCATCCATCATGCTAGGCTCCTTCCACCCCAGGACCTTTGCACCTGCTGTCCCCACTGCCTGGAGCACTTCCGTTCCTGGGGTTCTAAGCAAAATGCCGCCTCTCAGAGAGGTCTTCCGGCCTCCGTGAGGTGTCTCGACTCACGCCCCCGCTCCGTCTGCTGTGTAACCCTCCGTGCGCTCGTTACTGAGCCCAGACTATCCCTCGTGGCTGCCACACGGAGATGCCAGTGCTGGGTGGCGCTCGCGGATCTGCTCCGCGCTTCCCCGCACTGCGCTGTCTACGGGTATCCTCCGTGTTGTCTGGGGACGTGCCTGAGGGCTCACAGCTGCTAGCGTTGGAACAGGGGGTGCCCCCACCCCTGACCCCAAGACCGTGTCCTCTGTGAGACGCCTGCTGCTAGCTCAGGGTCTGCGTGGAGGGTGGTGGTGAGGGACAAGCCTGCACCTGTCCTCAGAGGACACAGGCCGGCACCTCACAGTCACTCTGCATTGCAACTGCCGTGTCCAGGAAGGGCAGGGCCCTGACCTCTCCCAGCCTATGCCACACTTGGGTCGGACATGCGTGCTGGGTGGAGGGTGTGGAGGACAGAGAGTTCCCGTTGGATGGGTGGATGTTTCATGCCCAGTGTTGGGCAGAAACCCACAGCCGGGCCAGGTGGCCACCCCGCCAGGAAGTGGCAGAGCCAGGACGAGGCCGGGGAGTGCCCCTTGGTCCCCCGGTCCGGCCAGGGCTGCAGAGGCGGCCACGCTCAGCCCGTGGGAGAGGGGCTGGCGGGGGCTGAGCAGGCACCCAGGTGGGTGGGCATCGGCCTGTCAGGGAGGGCTGGGGGTGGCATCTTCTGGGGACCCCTGAGCACACTGGGGTGCCTGCCCTGGACAAGGTCCCTGAGCACGGGCGTGAGCTGCGGTACAGGAGGCCGCCCGAGTCAGGGCGGGGTGACCGCAGGCCCTCCCCACGTGCGCCCCTCTGACACCCCAGCCAGCGGGGGCCCCGCCCACAGAAACATGCGTCTCTCCAGTCTGTGGGCGGGTGTTTACACCAGGTGCCGCTAGTAAGAGACTCCTTGCGAGTGAGCGAACCAGCTGCGGCAGACGCCCGAGACGGCCGTGTGATGGAGCACGGTGCTCCCGGTTATAAACCGTACCTCGGATTTACAACCCGTGGAGCCAGCGCCGGCTCTGGTCTCCGGGAGCCAAGAACGGCAGTGGTGGAGCCCAAGGGGCCAAGTGCGTTCAGTAGGTGCAGGGAGTGTGGCTCCGTGACAGTGAAATGGATCCCTCTCCTGTCCCCGGACGGCGAGGGGGCTTGTCTGCCACGGGCTCCTGACCTGGGCACTCACTTTGCTGGGAGCTGGTGCGGACTTGGCCACATGTGATTCTCGTGACCGTCCTCGGAGCTGCTCTGTTTGTCTAGTGAGGTGACTTGGCTGAAAGCTGTTTGTTTTGAAAGCCCTGGAGGAGTCACTGGGCAGGCAGAGAGGGACAGTATGTGCCAGGCCTGCTGGGCCAGGGGGCTGGGGACCACACAGCAGGCCAGCCCGACGGCTGTCACTCTCTGCTTGGCTGCGCCTCCACCGTGCCAGCCGGCAGCCTGCAGGTGCCGGGGATGGGCGTCGGCACAGCAGAAACGCAGACCCGCCGGACTCCGTTGTGGCCACACTCGACCGGGACCCAGCGTCTGTCCTTGGAGACAATTTCCAAAGACAAGACAAGGGGGGTGTTTCCCTCCTAAGTGTACTTGATGGTATTTTACAGTTGCATTTCCCCATTGTTTTCTACTGGGGAAAAGAGGTTAATAAAAATTAAAGGTAAGTCATCTTACACTTTTCATGAAAGGCGACAGGAGAGAATCCCCGTGGGTTAACAAGGGCTTACACGGGAGTTGGTTTTGCACACGTGGCCATCAGAGGACACCATTGTTGATGTGCGTTTTTATTCTTTGCAGCTCTATAAAAACCTCTGGGGGACCATCCTTCAGGACAGCCAAGTGCTGGAGAGGGTGTCATGGTGGCCGGAATTCTGCACCAACAAGCCTGCCATCGGGACCTTGAGCTCGAAGCTGTAGCTGCCTAGCGCGTCCCACTCAGTCCGACGAAGCCAGTGAAGACACGGACCTCAGATCGCAGCACCCGCTTCCTGGTGCCACCGTGCCAGCCCAGGGGCCCTGGCCCGTCTGCGCCTCAAGTCTCACAGGGGGGCAGCCCGTTGGCTGTGTGAACGGAAAACCAACAGCTCACCTCTTCTTAACGGACCATCGGCTTTTGACAATGAGAACTTCACGCATTCTATTCTCACACGTGGAAAATGAAGCCGACAGCTCATGATTGGGGTTTTGTGCTCAGCAGCCACTCGGCCGTCGCCGGGGGTGGACGCCGCCGGTCTGGTTCCTCAACGATCTGGCTTTACCATGTGGTCAAATTCCAGCTGGACTGATTTGCTCTGTAGACCACCAGAATGACGCTGTTTCAGAGTCTTAAGGAAAAGAAAATCATGTTCCATCAAGGATATGTTTCCAAATAAAAAATGTCTGATAATTGGAACATCTGGTCAGTTTGCCGTCCCGGCCGCCAGGTCATGTGCCCGTTGCTTGAATCGGTTCGCTCTGCACACTGGTGAATCCGGGCTGCTCAGCCTCATGGAGCGTGTGCTCAGCAGGCCCTTCCGTGTGTGCGTGTGCGTGTGCGTGTGCCCTCGCCCGTGCCCCCCGCGCGGCCCAGGTCTGTGAGTGCCTGTTCCGGTCACTGAGACCAGACGGGGGTCGCTGAGCACCTCCCCAAAACTCATGTTTTCAAGGTCAGGATGGAGCCTGGTGCTGGGCCCTCTTGGCCGGTCTGCATTTCCTTTGGCCTCTGGTCAGTCCGGGAGGGCACGGTGTGCCGTCAGCAGCCCCAGTGCCCTCCGACCTCTGTCACCGTGGAGCCCGGCAGGCAGATTTGACCCAGGTGCCCATGGGGTGCAGAACGAATCAGCCTGGGTTCTTATTTTTCAAAATGGCCCAGAGAACCTCTGAGCACAGGAAGGGTGTGGACATGAGTCTGTTTTTAAAGACCAGATTTCTTTAAATGATGTGGCTGGTTGCTTCTCAAGCCTCAGTTTTCATGCCGAGAAAAGAGGTGTGCACCCTCACCCCCACCCCAGAGCTGCCAGGAGCATCAGTGGCTGCCTCTGTTTATTTTATTATTTTATTTTAGTTGGTTGATTTGAGAGAGACATCGATTTGTTGTTCCACTTATCTATGCATTTATCAGTCGAGTCTTGTATGTGCCCTGACCCGGGATAGAACCCGCAGCCTTGGCGTAGGGCTGACACTCTCACCGGCTCTGACCAACGGAGTCACCCGAGCCCTTTTAAATATGTTTTTATTGATTTGAGAGAGAGAGAAACATCTATCAGCAGCCTCCCGCACACCTCCATGTGTCCTGACCAGGTATCGAACCAGTGACCTCGTGGTGCAGACGGCACTCAGCCAACCGAGCCACACGGGCCGGGCCGAGTGGCTACTTAAGGAGCATGCTGGAACTTTCTGTCTCACTGGACCCTCCGACAGCGGTGTGGGGGAGTCGCTGTGCCCGTGGTACACACGAGAATCTGGCCCTCAAGGCCAAATGGCTGCCTGGGCCAGGGGCCAGGGGCCAGAGGCGGCAGAGCTGGACAGGCTGAGGCTGACCTGTCGCCCGCTGGGGCCCGACGTTCTGGGGCCCAGCCCGTCTTCGGGCCGGCACATAGCACGAGTCACTAGTATCGGGGAGTCTAACCAGGGAGCAATCTGCCTGAATTTAACGTGTCTGGCCGGGCGGTTTCCTTGGTTTTAAACAAACCTTCGCGTGTGTAGGGCTGTTTTGTGCATTAGAGCCTCTGTGCCTGCAGAGATGGGAGCAACAGACGGCCTTCCAGACCCGGCAGTCTAGACGGTCGGTTCTGAGCGCAAATCCGAATGACCAGAGGCGCCTGCCGATGCCCCCGGGGCCTGTTCCTCAGAGGTCCCCACCTGGGTCCCAGCCAGAGAGGGGCGGGCCTGCCAGCTGGGGTCACGCCGGTCTCTCCGGTCTCTCCGGTGTCCGCTGGGAGGATGAGGAGTGTTGCACCTGCTGCTTTCCTCAGACCCCGTGGTTTTCTCAGCAGAGGGGCTGGCAGGTCCTCGGACACCCCGGCCTCTGGTGCCGGGGTGGGGCCCTCCGCCCCCTCACACCCCTTCGGAGCAGCCTGCGCCCTCATTTACCAGTGCTTTTCTGAGCATCCTGGGTTGTCACCTCTGGCCTTGGTTGTCACTGGTTTATTGTCTGGTCTTGCGTCTGAAGCACCTGTTCAACCAACAGGTCAAGACGTGGCTCAGGGTCAAAAGTCTGTTGCGTCCAGGAAAGTAGGCTCCTTGGGGCGTTCGTGTCGGACAGGCCAGGGGGTGGACTCAGGTGTGCGCTGTACCGTGTGACCTGGCTGTCACTGCACGGGGCGCACCTTCACACCCAGCCGTCGGGACGGCTTCCCTCCCACGGCGTGGCAGCCGGTGCGCTCGCGGGCAGTGTCTCATAGGCACGGCCGTGCAGGGTAAAGAAAACAAAAATCATGCCGCGTTGGTGTGGCTCCGTGGCTGAGCGTCGACCCAGACAGCAAAAGGTCACCGGTTTGATTCCCGGTCAGGGCACATCCCCAGGTTGTGGGCCTGATCCCCAGTGGGGGGCATGCAGGAGGCGGCCAATCGATGTTCTCTCTCATCGATGTTTCCATCTCTCTCTCCCTCTCCCTTCCTCTCTCTAAAATCAATAAAGAAGCCCTGGCCGGTTTGGCTCAGCGGTTAGGGCGTCGGCCTGCGGTCCGGAGAGACCCGGGTTCGGTTCCCGCTAAGGGCACGTACCTCGGTTGCGGTTTGTCCCCAGCCCTGGTTGGTCGTGCGGGTGGCAGCCACTCGATGTGTCCCTTTCACGTCGATGTTTCTCTCTCTCTCTCTCTCTCTCTCTCCCTCCTGCTCTACCTGAACAAGAAATGGAAAAGTGTCCTCGGGTGAGGATAAAAATAAATAAATAAATAAATAAATAAATAAATAAATAAATAAATAAATAAATAAATAAAATAAAATCAATAAAGAAAAATATTTTTTAAAAGAAGAAAACAAAAATCAGCCCGAACCCCGCCATCACCCGCGACGGCCCACGCACACCCCAGGACTGAGTCCTCGCGTCACCGCTGAGGTTCCAGTGGAGGGGAGCACCCCTGGGGAGAGCACCCCTCAGTCGGGACGTGCCGTGGCTCGGGCATACCTTTGGGCACTGTCACTTGGATGCACCTCTGACCTGCTGCCAAGCGCTGACCCCCCTTCCCCGTGTTCTTTGTAAGGCGGCCCTCGCCTCGGGCTGCGCCACAGGCATTTCCTGTGCAGTCTGTCTGTCTGGCGCTGTGGCAGGGACAGCAGGCATGCTCACCACGAGCAGGTTCCTTCCCCAACCACATGGGACAGTCCCCGGACTTCACGCGGCATGTGCCTGCCAGCCAGCGCCAGGGCCAGCCGGGGCCCAGTGGAGGTCAGATGTCTATCTTTCTCATCTCATCAGCTTCCTGCCCAGCTTCTGAGCCCCCTCTTTCTCTGTAACGGACCCCCGTTCTGTTCGTGCTCCCGCCCCAGGGCTGAGCTCATGTTGGCTGATGCCCAGCTCATTTCATTCAGTTCTGATGGGCATGGAGCCTGAATTGGGGAAAATGGGAGTGGTCAGTGGCCCTGGGGACAGGAGGAGCCATCCTGTGTCCCTTCTGAAGATGCCAAGATGGAGGAGGACCACGTGGGGTCCCACCACCTGCCCGGTGCCCAGGATGGCTCTGCTCTCGGCCGCCAGCCTGTCCTCTCAAAAGAGAGTCTTTTCCAGGGACCAGGTGGTCCTTCTCTGCAAATCCTGCACCTGCACAGAAGGCCTGCACCGGGGGGAGCCCTGGCCACGTGTTTTTTGTCTGTGTGTGAGCACCCTCAATACCCAGCCGTGGAGGGCCAGGGGCCCCATGGACAGTTCACTCTGGCCCCGGGCACTGCCCACTGCTGGCTCCCCAGATGGACTCCCAAACCCAGGGCAGCTGCTGGGGCTGCACGTGGGCCTAGCTCCCTTCATCCTTCCTTGGTGCTCCCCCACTTCCGTGACTGATGGCCGCTGTGTGGACATGACGTGGATGTGGCCCAGTGTTGGCAGGAGACGTCTTCCTACCTGGTACCCCGGGTTCCGGAAGGAGCTGTGACTGCCTTAGGCTTGGCACAGCCCTGATTTCCTGAGCAGCCCTGACTGGTCTGCAGTTACTCTTCCCACCGGCCGGAAGCTCACTGAGGTCGGGTCTGAACCAGCGGTGTGCTTCCAGCTTCCAGGGCAAGGCCCAGGGCAGGGACTTGGCAAGCACTGGAGGGAGGCATGGGTGGTGGATGGAGGGTGGATGAAGGATGGAGGATGGATGGATGGATGGTGGATGGAGGGTGGATGGAGCATGAAGGATGGATGATGGAGGGTGGATGGACGGTGGATGGAGGGTGGATGGAGGGTAGATGGAGGATGGAGGATGGAGGGTGGATGGTGGATGGAGGGTGGATGGATGGATGGTGGATGGTGGATGAAGGGTGGATGGAGCATGAAGGATGGATGATGGAGGGTGGATGGAGGGTGGATGGTGGATGGAGGGTGAATGGAGGGTGGATAGATGGTAAATGGAGGGTGGATGGAGGGTGGATGGTGGATGGAGGATGGATGGATGGATGGTGGATGGAGGGAGGATGGTGGATGGAGGGTGGATGGTGGATGGAGGATGGATGGTGGATGGAGGGTGGATAGATGGTAAATGGAGGATGGATGGTGGATGGAGGGTGGATAGATGGTAAATGGAGGGTGGATGGAGGATGGATGGTGGATGGAGGGTGGATGGTGGACGGAGGGTGGATCATGGATGGAGGATGGATGGTGGATGGTGGTGGAGGGTGGATGGAGGATGGTGGATGGATGGTGGATGGTGGATGGTGGAGGGTGGATGGTGGGTGGAGGGTGGATGAAGGGTGGATGGAGGGTGGATAGAGGGTAAATGGAGGGTGGATGGAGGGTGGATGGTGGATGGAGGATGGATGGAGGGTGGATAGATGGTAGATGGAGAGTGGATGGAGGGTGGATGGTGGATGGAGGGTGGATGGTGGAGGGAGGGTGGATGGTGGATGGAGGGTGGATAGATGGTAAATGGAGGGTGGATGGAGGGTGGATGGTGGATGGAGGGTGGATGGTGGACGGAGGGTGGATGGAGGGTGGATGGAGGGAGGATGGTGGATGGAGGATGGATGGTGGATGGATGGTGGATGGTGGAGGGTGGGTGGATGGATGGAGTGTGGATGGATGATGGTGGATGGAGGGTGGATGGAGGGAGGATGGTGGATGGAGGGTGGATGGTGGATGGAGGGTGGATGGTGGACGGAGGGTGGATGGAGGGTGGATAGATGGTAAATGGAGAGTGGATGGAGGGTGGATGGTGGA